CCCCGGGTACTTGAGGTATCGCGGGTCGTGGATGACATGGAAGTTTCCCGGATCTTGTGGGTACAGTGTGCAACCTCTACAGAGTGTAAAACTATTTGAATATCCGTGTCCACAGTCAAGGACAGTTGGGTAACCGCTCTTGGGCTACGTCCACTTGTTTACAAACCGAGTGTGTGTGTTGATAAAATGACTTGGGTCAAGTCAAAGGACTTGACGTGATTGAGATGGGTTGGTGCCCATTCTATTTATGTTGATATCTGTAACCTGTCCTCATGGTTACTTGAATTCTCTTGATGCATGTCTTACAAGTTGTTGAACATGTCATTGCACTCAAAACTAGCTTTCTGCAAAAATTTACCTATATCATGCATTGTTGTATCTTGAACCAAAAACATGGGTTGCTTGCGAGTACATTCAAAGTACTCATTGGCTTGCCACTGGTTATTTTATTGGCCAGTCATGAAAGAACAGGATGTGATGAAGAACACTTCGGTGACGAACATGCGAGCTAGGACACTTCCCAGTCAGAATGCCTGTACGGTTAAGGCAGATGGCATGGGTCCAAGTTATCGATGAAGATTTCCGCTGCAATGATACACTCAAGACTTGACCATAATGGTCCTACTTGTGTAAAACGGTATGTATGGATGTAAGACTCTTGTTATTCAGCTTCTGTGTGTTCAGTGAGCATTGATCTCTGGGATCACTGTACACGTGCATTCGGTGATCTCGACTTATGAGTCGGGGTCCCCACATGGTTCGAGTGCTTTTTGGGCAGAGAAGGCGAGAGCTTGGGCGCTGGAGCTCGAGAATGGATGGGCAGAGGAAGGAGAAGGCGTGGGTAAGAAAGGGTGAATCCTTTTCCCTTTATAACCGCAGTAAAAGTCATGCGCCTCCCTACTCGCCTTAAAATTTGCCTATTCCCCAAGCGCCTTGAAGATGACACGGTTGGGTTACCCATGCCCGTGTTGATGAGAATCCCGTGATAAGGGGACATGATCTCTGCTTTGACAAGACGTGCCAATGAAACACACCTCGAAATACGGAGCGGCAAGCTAAAAAACGGTTTGAATAATGACCGGGCAGTGGCGTGATGTCACGCTACAAAAAGTTGTCAGCTGATTGGACTTGTGAAATATTATACTCTCTACGGTTGTGTGTGGAACTTGTTTTGCAGAGCCGGACACGATTCTTGTGTTCACTTTCAACCCGATTCACCGCCTACGTGCCCTTTACGCCCAGTCATTCCGAAGAACACTTGCGCCCCCCCGTCTTACCGTGGCTGCTGGCACGGAGTTAGCCGGGGCTTCTTCCTCGAGTCCTGTCATGATCGCACACTCGACGAAAGAGCTTTACAAGCGGCATTGCCCTTATTCACTCACTCGATATTGCTGGAACGGGCTTTCGCCCATTGTCCAAGATTCCCCACTGCTGCCCCCCATGGGAGTCCGGGCCGTGTCTCAGTCCCAATGTGGCTGATCATCCAAAAAGACCAGCTAAGCATCATTGGCTTGCTCAGCCTTTACCTGGCCAACTACCTAATACTACGCAGGCTCATCAAATAGTGCTTTTGAGCTTTCTTCAGGATTTGGCCCAAATTGTTCGGCAGATTCCCACGCGTTATCCACCCAGTTCGCCACTTTGTTCTCAACTATTCCGATTCCAGCAAACGGAGGCCGTTAGGTCAAAGCCGTAGCGCGCACCCTGTAGTTTTGAAGCAGGGCGAGACAACTTTAGCTAGGAGCCTCTTTTCCTTCTGCCCAGCTCCCTGAAAACAACGTTCGACTTGCATGTGTTAAGCATATAGCTAGCATTCCTTCTCAGCTAGGATCAAACTCAGATTTTGACTATGATTAGGTGGGGACAGGATTTGAACCTGTAGTCTTCAGGTCATGAGCCTAATGAGTTGACCAATTCCTCTACCCTGCTTCTTCCCCTGATCTTTCTTTCCTTCTTCCCATAAACATTGATTCTCTCTCCTAACCACTCTTAAATATGTGAAATACACGGAATCGATCCAAAACTACAAGCAAGGGAATCAAGTCTTATTGCCGTAAAGGAAAAATAACCCCTTTCCTTTATATATATACAAGGAACAAGTAGCCTTCGCCACCTATTCCTGAATTAAGGGAACGCAAGAAATCTTTCTCTATGTCAATTCAAAACGAAACAAATGGACGATTGAATCTTGTAAACGAAATTCTTTTGAGAAGAGCTTGCGCCTATTCTTCTCTAAAAATCACCTATGTGGAATGGATGCTTCTACTTGGTTATCATAGACTAGCAAATCCATTTGAGAGCTGTCTTTCTTTGATGGTAGTGTCCTTTCTTCACGCTCACCATCTCTGCAAAGCTTAACAAGATAATCCACGCCAACAACCAAAGCCAACAAGCCTTCGCTCAGAAGCTCTTTCTTCATCTAAGCTTTTAGTAACATTAGGTGTCATCAATAGGGTGGAACACATTAACCAGTAGAAACCTTGCTTCAAGGTAGATTCTTACATGTTTGGAGTTTTGTCTGGATCCAGGTACCTCAACTATTGGCCTTACATGGCCTGACATGGGTATTCCCTCTTTCTAGTCTCACTCTTCTCCAACAGAGCTCCCTCACTGAGCGAGCATTCCTAGTATGCTCCACTCATTCTACGCCAAGCACCCAATCACGGGATCAGAATCATACTCTAGATCATACCTTTCATGAAAGAAAAGGACAGGCAACCGCTGCTAAACCAAGATCTCCATCTCTTGACTCCGTCAATCAATCTTACCTTATAGGGCATAAAGGTATATTTACCATATGAGATGTGTGCACCTACTAAAGGGAATAGAAAGATCTTGGGCACAAATACTCCACTTTTCACGAAAGACATAGATTCACCAATGATTGGTTGGACTAAATACTACATTTATTTGCTCAGAATAAGGAAAGTTGGCTGTGAGAATGATTTCTCGTACGTAGTCTTTCCTAGGACCATTCCAACAGGATGCTCAGAGGTGGGTGGAGAAAAAGCTCAAAAGGCATACTTCCTGCGCTTTCAGAGGATCTAAATCAGTCTTCATCCTTTTGCTTTTCAAAGCCCCTCACAATAAATATGTAAATTCGTTTCGCACAAATTCAGAGATTTTTGATCTCCTCGAAAGAAAATGAGTTCGATCAGCAACAGCGGTCTCCACAGCACCAGGATAAAGACCTTCTTTTTACCCATAACCTTTCTCTGCAGCATTGGAACCAAGATCGGGCTTGGCATAGTTACGAGGTTCCCGTTCTATTTAACTAACACTAACTGAAGCTAACCGGAAGCTTTCTTCTCATGCGACTCTTGGATCGAAAAGAGGCTGTTGGACTAGACCACGGCTGAAACTGCCAGGCACGGACTAAAAGCTTTTATCAGGGATTTCCGAGTCAAACGACTACCATACATAGCATAGAGCTGGAAGCTGCACTAGTGTACAGAGAAGACTGGATGTGAACACGGGCGGACATTGGCTATGTATGGGGCACTCACTAATCACTATTAGCAGGAAACAACTAGCAGAAAGAAAGATGAATGCACTTTCACTCCTTGCTCTTCAGCATGTACTCACACGAGGGACTCTCAAATCTCTATTTCAAACCATAATATTTCGATCCCTTTACTAAAGTGATTGATAGCAGGGCTAAAAAATCATAGGGCTTCTTTTATTTTTATGTGAACTCACTTCTATTCTATATCAAGATAGGGGCTTCAGTACTTGGCTGACTGCTCGGTGGAAGACCTGGTTCTACCACACAAGGGCAGCTTTCGTAGTCCAGGATTATTTTCCTCATATGTAATTTCACCTCAATGTGGAAATGTCTGATATATTCCAAAATAGAAGGTATTCATGAAGGTCTGTCTTGTTTCAGGAATATAGGTACCGAAGTTCAATAGCGGTAGGTACCAAGGAGAAGAAAATTCAGGGCCGATTGACAAGACTAGCTAGGCTGACCTTCCAGCCATACTCCATCCAATATCGAACGGAAGTGCTAAAGGTTTCATGTGATGCTGAATTCAATGAACCAGACCTCGAGAATTCGTTCATCCCTTCGCTCCGAGGATTGGTCGAGTACTTGGCCACATGCATGAGTAGTCCTGTTGCCTGGATGTCCCATTAAAAAGGCAGGTCTCATATTTGAAATAAAAAATAAGATCAGATAGTGCTCAAGAGGTTTTTCTCCATACGAGATATCCTTCACTCGCAGGGAATTCAAATAGATGTGTTGAAGATCATCAAAGAATAGAAAAAGATTGAATTTGATCCATCTCCTCCCTTTTCTTTAAACCAAGAGCTACTCCTCCCTTTTCTTTTTTTATGTAATTTCAATACGATTTCATTTGTGTTCATGTTTTCAATTTAGAACCCCACGGAAGTGAATAGAAAAAGCAAAATACCCCTGTGATACGCCTTCCTTTACCTTTTCTAGATTGATTGATGTTCAATGGAGGGAAACTTGCCATTCCTTCTTTCCTTTGGAATTGTACATTTTTTGATTCTGAACTAATTGTATCCTTTTTGTTCCCATCGAGCTTTCTTGCCTAGTGACTAAGGATTTTCACACTTGTTGTGTCTATAAAAGATTTTCTCATAATACACTAACAGAAGTGTTAGTGGGATTCACTTTTGATAAGAATCCAAAAGCAAGTTCCCTATACTACCTTCTTTCCCTCCTTTGTTTCTGTCTTGAAGAGGCAGTGCATCCGGCAAGAATCGAACCTACTTTTTGACCCACTTTGCCTTTCTAGGTTGGTGGCCGCTTTCACCATTCAGCCATGGATGCTTTAGCGAGTGAACTAGGTTTTTATTTGAGAGCGAACTAGGTTTTTAGTGGTATTCCTTCTCGAGCTTCTATTTCTTCCGTTAAGGGAGATTCAGGAAAAGATGGAATAGGAAGACACAAACAAGATACGGGTAGAGAAGGGGAAGTTACCAAAGTTAGACAAGATTGGAATGGGCATAGGAACATGTATTGATGTACCAGATCAGCTAATGCTCCCAGGTTGATGCGATGTATTCCACCAATTGACTGGAGACTTTATTATTGGTATATCGATCGGCCCAGCACAGATTGAAATAGGAGCCGGTTCGACAAGAAGCTTTTGAAAACGCAATGCACCCAGGTAAATAAGGAACAAGATGAATATAGAAGTTAAACAAGCATCCCACACCCGAAAGGTACCCCACATAGGCCTTCCCCGAAACCCCCAGTCACTAACGTAAACAAAGTAGAAAAAGCACCAATTTCTATACCGGTTCCGGAAGAGCAAAGAAAAAGGGGATGTTTTGTTAATGGGAACAAGGAACTATTTATAGATGTCGCGATATAAATAACTATACTCATCCGAGCCGTAGGAACATGTACATATGAAATACAAGAATTTCCACCTTGTTGAAGATCTGGTGGTGCTACCTGAAGACTTAAATGAATAGCCATCGCTGTTAAGAACAACCGAGATCCAATGAGAATTTGCGCGTAGCTTTTTGTCTTTGACATAAAAAAATAAGGTTGTAATAACGAAACTGACATTTTATTTTCCTTGCCTTGCAAGTGGAACAAGAAAGACTATATAGTTATTTTGATTCTATAAACAATCAAAGGATTTCGCATGCTTTCCATGGAATGACAGAATTCCCCTTGCTTAGTTTTCGCTCCGCTCGAGCGTGGCACTCCTTGCTTGCAGAGTGACGTATTGGAAAAAGAAGGATTGAACTTCTATACGGGCCCGTCCCCTCTTACCCCTAACTAACAATTATGCTGCTCTCGCCTTTTTGTAATCTTATCTTTCAAAAATGCACTACTAAGTTTTACGGCCTCCTTAGTCATCCTATCCACTCTCGTCCTGTTTTCGGGTTCCCTTTCATGGGATGAGGATATTTCGATGATTTCTCCCTCCGTAGGTGGAAAACGCGTGGGTGAGTAGAGTCTGTGCTTTGCTTTTGGGGGCACCGACAAGAAGCTTCTCGTCCACCCTACTCTGACTTGATTAGCTACTAGTAACTAGGATCGTTTAAACAGAAAGTCAGCAATGCGTACTTCTTTCCTAGTTGAGTGGATATGCATAACAGAGCCCAATCTTCTACCACAAGCTCTGACCTAACTTGTTGCACTTGATTCACCCACGTAAAGAGAAAACTTGGATAATAAAATTCATCCCATAAAATAGAAGTGAGTCCGCATGTCGGCAAATGATTTGGAATTGAAACTGGCTACAGAGGAAACCGAAGCCCTAACTCCCCATTCTTTCTATCTTACATCGCAATCGAGCCCTGGCTATAGAGTCACTGGTTTCTAATTGCAATGGATTTATGTTTTCTTTGGCTTTTCCATTCGCTTCGTTCAACCCTGATCTGGATAGATAGCTCGGCTTCTATTAGCTGAGAATGGTTTTGTCAAGGAAAGGTTTCACTATACAACAACAATGAAATCACTTCTGATCAAATTGGATTGGATGAATTGGTAATCTTTCTCTGTCTTGTGAGAGAGAGTCACTTGCTGTATTGAGAGAGGGCGGGTGACATGCATTAAGCGAAATTAGTTGTTATGTTTTTTATCTTATTTGCGCGAGAAGACCCTTGACTGAGGAGACGTGTTTCGCTTGGATGATGCCGCTATGCTCCTATTCGCTTTCAGAGACTGCTTTGAGTTTGCCGGTTTTGCGACAACCCTTTCACTAAGAACATTTTAGCCATTAATGAAATGCCACTATTCCACAATGCTTCTTTGATTTATGGGTAGAAGCGGTAGTAGTGAAGAAAATGGAGGGAGAAGAAAGAAAGCGATGTGACACGAGAATAGATCACATCCGACAGCCTGCCATGCCATTAGATAGATCCGCTGTGAGTCTTCTACAGGATGAGATCCGCTTGGTCTTTTGATAGGGGCTTGAGGAGGAAGAAGAGGGGATTTCTGAAAAAAAGAATGAATCATCTTATTTATAGGGAACGTGACGTGTGACTTCCTCAAACGAAACAAATGTGGCTTTCGTGATAAGGCAAATCCTTCGTTCGGTACAATCAACATATTGAATCTACGCTCGCTCGGCTCGGTGCTGAATGAACTCCTTCATTGATTCCGGGCTGCTCATAGGGGGACTATGAAAGCAAGCGTAGGAGATCAAAATGTGAGTCAAGTCCGATGGGTAAAAAGGGGAAGCAGGAAAGGGTTCTGATGTGAATTCTTCTGGTTTGTATATCTATCTCAGCCCTTGCTTGAAAGCCTCAAAATTGACTTGCATCTTCCCTTATCACACTACACTTTATCTTCCTTATTCCGTTTCACTGAGCTAAGCAAAACTTTTTCACGTATTCACCCGAGATATTATAGAAATTAGTCATATTGATTTGTGGTCTTGTTCTCGATAGGAACTTGCTGCTGTCTTGGTTGGTTTGAGAGCAGGCACTGTCTATATATCCAAAACCGGAGGAGAGTTTGGGTTCAGATCACAGACGATCAGAGATTTTGGATTGAGATGGATGGTTGTGCTTGAAGTTACGAGTCGGGTAATGCTAAATTGAATCGGCTGATCCGTTTCATCCTCTTTCGTCAAAGGAAGTTGGACTTTAGTTAGCTAAAAAAAGTACCAGCAGCATGTCTCTGCCCTTTGAGTCTATAGCCGCCAAATCTAAAGATTCCTTAAGTTGTCGTACGGCTTCTTTTTCTTCTTTTGTCAATGATCGGTGACAATGAATGCTACGAATGTTCACACATATTTACCCTCGCCTCGAGAAATACCAGCAGAAGAGTCATTGTCGTTTCCTGACCGATATGAATGCACATATTTACCCATGCCTCGGGAAATACCACCAGTAGAGTCTACAGAAGGTGTCGTTCAGGAGAGATGCTGGGTTCTAGATATGCGAGTGAGATACCCGCCCTCGGTCATGACCTGGGTTGAAGAAGCAATCTATGTTCTTGGAAGCAAAGAAAGAACTCTGGTATTCCGACCTTATCTTTTTGCTCAAAGAACGAATCAAACCCCTTGTCGAAGCCCTTTATGATATATAACCCTGGATCGAGTCAGATTTGGGGCGGCTGAACCCACTTAAGCTGAAGCCTTAGTAGATGTCGACGGAAAGGTGAGAAGAGCTAATCAAACCTATGAAGCAACGGTTAGTTGTGCGGTGTACATACAGGCTGGTTTCGCCATTAGCGATGAATTTGGTTTATTAGTAAGGGAATGAATGAAGCGGACTGAAAAGAAGATGTATTTTGGAATAGAAAGAATTCATCTTCTAGGTTTCTGCTTCAAGTAGTAAGCAAAGGATCCTACCTGCTAATGGTTGAAGACCTTGGCGGCCTCTAGTTCTTCTATCTAGTTTTTTAGCCTAGCGCGAATGAATAAGCTTAAACAAATGGTTTCTTTGGCAACGGTTTTTTCTAGTTGATTTGTCCTTATATATATTAGCCGTAGTGTAGTTTAGTAAACTGCTCATAGCTCTTATCATTCCTTTATCCATGCATAGACTGGAATATATTAGCTCTTATCTGGCACTTTCTTCTTCTCTATTTGCCGTTGCATTCAATAGCCTATTTGAAGTTAACAAAAGCTTTATTAGCTAGCTCTATGAATTACGTATATCTTCTTGGCTATCTAGGCTATCTCTACAGGCTTTTTCAACCTATAGCAGACCTTTGTATACACCCTTGTAACTGAACTAGCTATTCACAAAGAAAGGTCTATACCGTACATATACCAACTGCGCACCCCTTGTATACTTCTTTTTCCTTCTCCCGCGCTTCAACTTCTGCCCCGGATCACTCCTCTTTCCAGCAATCTATGTGGGAAGCACTCATTCAAAGTAAGTTGAGATTCAAAGCGTTCCCGTAAGCTAGTAAGTCAATCAAAGCTATAACTCTATTTGTTAGTTTCAGGAAACTGGTACATATTTCAAATAATAATATATATATATGTATATATATAGTATTATTTGGTATTTACCAATTTTAGATAAGCATAAATTCATTTGGAAAGAAAAGGGAAATCCCCTGAAATAAAGGATTTTTACTACGTTACCCTCAAAAAAAAGAGGAAGACAAACTAGCCAAGAGGTAGAAAAAGGTAGAGACCAACCACCGAAACAAGGGAGTGAGGGCTAGGGGGATATGGGCCAAGAAAGGTCCGATGTATCGGTGAGCTATACCTAATCCTTCAATCAAAAACGCATCACACCCTTTGTAGGATCAAGCCAAAGTCAAGCATGATCACGTAATGCAAACTCCAAATATCATGGTCGGTGTACCTGGTCCTAAACTGCTTTTAATCTAGAATAAGTGGAATCTTCTCGACACTCTCCTTCATCTTCGGTGGCCCCGTCTGTCGTGGGAAACGAACACCTATGGGGCAGGGCCCCTTTCGGTCCGGCAAGGGAGCGGAGGGCGCACAAAGAGCAGATCGAGGTCAAGCACGCGAGGGATTTTACCCCGCTTCGGAGCTCTCCGGAGAGATAAAACTCCTACTGCTGCCTTGTGTTTGTATTTGTTCTTGCTTGAGAGCGTGGGTGTGTTCTAGTCTCGAATGAGTCGAACCCCCTCTACGTGCGCATGGGCCTCCTTTTTATAGTCTAAAGGGGTCACCGACAGGTGGCAACGCAGAGAGAGGGGTAAAAAAGTAAAAACGGGGGTTGGTACAACCGCTATCAACAGTGCCCCCTACCTAACTCTGACGGCAGGGGACAAGGGCATTTAATGCCCGTCTGGTCGCTCAAACAGTGCAAGAAACGACCGTTAAGGGCGCCACCGATCGCCACGATGGCCTCCTAGTCATCTTCACTTGCCACCTCGCACCGCTTGGCTGCACAGCTTCCCGCCACGTGCACTAGGAGCGATCCTGCGGCGACACATCGTCGGATGCGCTGGAGAAGGGGTGCAGAGTGGTGGCTTCGCCGTGGCAAGCTTCTTGCTGCGGTCGCTATCTTGTCGCACCCGCAAGCTCGTCGCTCGCCGGGTGTTGCCGGGATGCGCGGCGCGTCGCGGCAACTCTCTTGAAATGCCTTGGTTGGCCTTCCCGGCAAGCTCCTCTTGCTGGGGTCTTGTCCTTCCCGGCAAGCTCCTCTTGCCGGGGCCTTGTCTTCACAGTTAACAGTTTGTTCTTGAATGGCAGTAAATGGGAATAGCGAAGGATCTTGGCGGACGTCCGGCAAGCCTTGCCACGGGACGCTGCGACTGCCCGTGCACAAGTTCGGGGTA